ACCACGCAATAGTTTGTGCCAAGTTGTCTATGCGATTTGGGGGCCACAAAAAGATGCGATGCAAATAGCTCGACGTCGCCAAGCTTTCTGACCCGGCCGTGCTAGCTGATTACCAAAACGACTTGGCCGCAAGGCTAACTGCTACCCCAACAAATAGCGTAGGTCAACACTGGAAAACCATTCAAAACTCAATGCACTCAGCCGGTTTACACAGTTGTGGCTTAACCCACCGAGTTGTAGATCACTGGGTCTCCTACAACTCTCTCAGACTCCTCGACGCGCGTCGGGCAATCTCGGCAGACCGCGAGTACAATGAACAGGGCCTATCCCTAAAGCGTGAGCTCACAAGGAGTTTGAGAGATAACCGAGAGGCCTGATGGACGCTACGTTCAAAGGAGATGGAATCAGCGGCTAGGTGTGGAAATACCCGGCAACTATTCCAGCTCATTCCTGCTACAGGCCTCAAAAAACAGCGCGTTAGTGAAACAGTCTGCGAAGCAGATGGCAAGCTCATAAACAGCCTTCACCGACGCTTGGAACGCTTGATAGAGCACTTCACATGGTAGTTCAACCAGCCCTCCGCACTGGCTGTCCCAAGCAGTTCCTTTGGGAGTGCACCCTGGTCACTATCCACGGGTCCGCCCACAGAAGCGGAGATCCGAAAGGAACTCCAAGCCTTGAAACGCCACAGGGTAACTGGATCAGAGGGCCTGCCATCTGCCCTCTCTAAAGATGGTGGAGATGCTCTCGTGAAAGAACTTGCGAGACTGTTCTCGAATATCTGGGAAACTAAAAGTGTACCCCACATATGGGATTGTCACACCCATCTACAAGAACGGTTATCGCAGCGCCCGTTTCAAACACAGGGGCATAAGTCTGATTTCAATAGCGCCGAAGCTGCTAGCGTCCGTTTTATTAAGCAGGTTATGCCCTTTCCGTGAGAAGCAAATCCGCGAGGAGCAGGCTATGTTTCGTGCACGCCGTGGATGCATAGATCAAATCTTCACCCTCCGTCAGCTACTAGAACACCGCCACACATACAGAAGACAAACCTGTCGTTTTTTTAGACATCAGAGCGGCTTTCGACTCTATCGATCGTCCTGCACGGTGGAACTGTTTGCGGAGATACGGAGTACCCGAGAAGTATGTCTCATTCCTAAAATCGCTCTACCACCAGACCTCGAGGAAGGTTAGGGCCTATGATGAATTTTCATCCTCGTTTCCTGTCTTCAGTGGGGTGCGACAGGGCTACCCTATCACTCCGTTTCTTTTCAACTTTGCCATAGATGATGTCCTACAAAACGCGTTACATAACGTAGCGAACGCTGGTGTCGAGCTTCATCCTAGGGACAGAGTCACAGACTTTGAGTACGCCGATGATATTGCCTTAATGTGTGACAATGCGTTAACGATTCAAGAGTCATTGAACCGTTTGGCAATTGAGGTTACTCGCTTTGGTATATCCTTTGCATCTTCAAAGTGTAAAGTGTTGTTGCAAGATCCGCAGGAACCCATTCCTGCACTTCGTTGGATAATGACACTCTGGAAGTAGTCGAAAGCTTTGTCTACTTTGGGAGTTGCATAACAGCTGGCGAAGGTGTAGGCGAGGAGATCTCTCAACGCGTGATCAAAGCTAGATTAGCGTTTGCTAATCTGCGGCATCTCTGGCGCCGGCGCGACATATCCTTTTCGCTGAAACGGCGTATGTATTGCTCAACGGTACGCACCGTGCTGCTCTATGCGTGCGAGACCTGGCCTTTCCGAGTAGATCACGTCCAGCGACTATCAGTCTTGGACAACCGCCGTCTGCGCAACATCGCCCGAGTATGGTGAGAGCATCGCGTGAATAACGATGAAGTCAGACGATGGGTGCTAGGATCAGATAGTCTTCTTTTCACAGCATCGTCTTAGGTGACTAGGGCACATCCTATGAATGCCTGAGCACCGTCTGCCATGCTGTGCACTATTCGCAGACATCGGTTCAGGCTGGAAGAAACAGCGAGGTGGACAGGTTATGACGTGGCGCAAAGGGTTAAAGAGATTGTGCTCGGATCTGGCTTCTGTTGGGGTTTCCCGGCTGGGGCCCCAAAGATTCGGATTGTCTTTGGCTGGAGACACTGCGGGATATGGCATCGAACCGAAGTCAGTGGAGCGAACTTATCCTTTCCTATTTGCAATCCCAAAAATGAACAAAAACGAAAAAAAGCTCAAGATGGCGTGCAGTAAACAAAACAAAACAAATGTTACTTCCCGAAGTTCACTGTTCTATTTCCCCCACTTTTTACCCATATTTTTTCGTTCACCCATGGTTATTGTGGCGTCGTATCTGTAAAGATTGGTGTTATATATATTTTTACATTTTTTATATTTATATTATATTATATATATACATCTGTACGCAACGGGGAAAAGTATAACAATTAAGCCCTTCTCGAAGCAACCCCCATTTATATGAACATGCGACAGAGGCGGTGAGACAGACAAGATCACTTACATGATCCATGAGATTCGACTTGAATTCAGACCGGAGAAATGTACAAAGATGTTGATGAACATCTGCATGCTGATAAACATCTAAGCATAACGTGTATCTCTGCTCCAAACACTGGACAATCTGAACAAGTTGCTCGGTTGTCAGTCGTGCAAGATGGACTGAAAATGAGAAAACAGAGAGAAGTAAACAGGACAGAACGTGGACTTTCAGCACGGTGGGTTCCCTTATGAAAGAAGATAAAAGTGGAATTGATGAATCATTGAATGGAATAGTGGATTTTATAATTGAGTTTTGAGTACGATCCATTGTTTCAGTCTGTGTATGTGCATGTAAGTCTTAACTAAGATAGCACATTGTGTTCCAAGTAGGTCAGGGTGTGA